CGGCATTTAAAGATGTTTGTGAGTACTGTATTTCTTACAGTTTATAAACACATTTTATTATATATATATAAGCAGTTATTGGCTGCCTTATGGATTTCTTATAGTTTGAGTTTTAATTATATAGGGAAACTGACTCTTCTTCTTCTTTTCTTTTTTATGAGAGGCCTGCCTTACCAAAACCAGCATAATGCCGCTAATTATCAAATTGAGTATCATAATAATGTAGCAGTATTGTATATTTTAGTACCAGAGAATCTGCTTCTCTGTACTAAAGTATACATTACTTCCACATTCTTATGTACATTGGTTTTGGGATGGCAAGCCTTATATCATGATATTTATTTCATCTTCAAACATAACACTATAACATAAGAACACTATACATTATACTTAATAAAATTCACAATAAAATATAAGCTTTGTCCAATAATCAAATATCAAATGTATCAAATAATTTATAATTTGAATCAGCATTTACTAGTGGTATGATTTTATACATTTTTGTTTTGTAGGGTTATCATCCAACCGTATTTTACCCGAAACGACCAGATAAAAAACTCTTTGAGAACTTAACCGTACAGTGTTCTTCGATGGATATACCATTTCTTTCTCATCTATTGTCAACCAACCTCCTCAATGAATCCTACAGCTTAATTGTGGATGCCATCTTTGGCTTTAGTTTCAAGGGAAATGTGAGGTCACCGTTTGGGGACATATTGGAAACCTTGAAGAAGGTGTCAATGCCAGTTTGTAGCATTGATGTGCCATCAGGTAAGAAACAAATGTGTGAGGCTGTCATTCTCTTTAATATTTTATTTTTCTGTTTATTTCGCATTTAATAGGTCAAATACTTATTTGTCCAGGTTTAAAAAAAAGTAGGAGGTTGATTCGACTTTTTACTTTTTTATGTGGTACCCAATTCACACAAGACAAAATTTTACACAGAATGCCTGCTAAATATTACTCAGAGATATTGCTATAGTTACCAGCTATCCCACATTTACAGTGAAATTAAGATGCGTTTATTTGAGTATATACGTACCCATTTTACACAAAAAGAGGAAAGCCTCCCTTGGAGAAACACCTCATTTAAATAAATGCCCCCCCCCCCAAAAAAAAATATGACCTGTGACGTTTATTTGAATAAATACGGTATTACAGAAATGCTTAAATTTTTGCAGTGTTGTTCTTTTTCAGAGTTATAACCAACCCTTAACAGCTAACAGAAATATGCTTTTATCTGAGACAGTTGTTTTAGACTCATATTTGCACATTATGCTACTCATCTCAAAATAATTCAAAGTGGTGTTCTGTAACACATATTTATTTCACACTTTCTTACTTATACACAATATATTTTTTTTTATCTCACATTATATCACGATTTATTGTCAGAATAGTCCAACATAAATTTCCTGCCTGTAATTTTATCTCAAATGTATGCAAAACAATCTTTTATAACCTACCATTACTGCAAGCATGTCTCACTTTGAAACAAACGTTGCTATTTTACTACAATCGTTTGTGTATATTGCATTCCCTTCATTATGCGACATAATTGGAATGCGAGGAAGTGGTGCATAACGATAATTAATATAATGACTTGAATTCTATGTATCCCTCCTTTCATCATCCTCTCTCACACTCACATTTTTTAAAATTGCAGTATTTTTGCTCCTACTTCCCATCTCTTCTCATCCTCTTTCCACTTTTAGGAACTATTTCAGATGACCACTTTTTCTATTTCTAATCACCGGCATAATCATACGGCTGATGTCAACTGCAGTCTTTCATATAATCCCCTTTTAAATCTTGTGTAATTAATTTGCATGCGTATAACCATGCTCAATTAATTACTGCATGTGAAGGCAGTGCGGTTTGCTGTCTAGGCAGATGTCATAATGCAATCGCATTGGCCGGCTTTGTTGGATTGCTACTTCAGTTAAAAAAAAAAACTTCAATATCTCAGTTGTTTTGGACTCTCCATCATTATCATACATAATCATCATTATCATAATCATCATCATTCTGACTCAATCAATTTTCATGATCGTCAATATCATTATCAAAATTTATATTATATCATTATCCATCATCATTTTCATTGTCAACATCATCAGTCATCACCATCATTATCAAATTATCATCTTCAAAATCATCATTAAAGTCATCATCATTAATATCATCATCAATCATCATCAATTATCGTCAACATCATCATCAAAACCACTATAAACAAAATCATCTCCAAAATTATCATCATCAAAGTCATCATCGTTATCAAAATCATTATCATCATGGCATCATACTCTACTTCATCATCAAGTTCTTCATCAAATAATCTTATCATCAAGATCTTCATCAAAATCATCACAGGCATCAAGCATTCCGGCAATGCACAAAAGCTCTTCAATCTACATATATGTCAACTGGAAATAATTTGATTTCTGTATAGACATTGCTACGGTGATTAAAATAACTTCAAACAGTACATTTATATATGTAGCTACTCCTACTAAATGGGTGTAATTAATTGAATGACAGCCTATTTAGTATTGATTGACAATCTAGGCTATAGTATATATTGATTGATAGGTGACCAAAAATGAGGCACAGCCAGCTCATTAGCTGTCAGCAACCTTGCACATTATAGAGAACATTGCAAATGAATGGTTAATCACATGAGAAATTAACTGTAGTGTAAATGATCTCTACTGGTTTAGCTCAGTGAGAATCTTTTGTGCCTTGGGTAGTACTGTAGCATACAGTACTGTACTCCTTAGAAATGTCAATTTGCTGGGATAGTTAGAATGAGTGGATCTGTAGCTTCGTGGTTGACATGCTTGCCTTCCAATCCGAGTATGTGTGTCTAATATTGGCCATATGAATGTTATGTAGTATAATCTTTGTG